TGATGAAATCCTAACATTTAGACTGTAAATGAACCAGTAAACGTTGATTTTGTTATTTGCTTTTTTTTAGTATTGATGGAGTACGATATTTTCAATGTCCGGAAAAGTATGGTGCATTTGTGAAACCGCAATATGTTGAAGCTGGTGACTTTCCTGAACTTGGTATTGATGATCTAGATGAAATTTAATTACTTATGAACTTTATATCAATCTCCTTGTATAAAAGTGAAAATATTTTTATGCATTCAATAGAAAATGTATCAAGCATAATATATTTGATAACTTTCAATGTACAATTTAAAAAAAAGTCATAATTGGTTCTGTTTGTTTATGATCGATAATGCAATGAAATAGATGGTCACGGTGTATAGTTTTTGTCCATTCGTTAAATACAGAAGAAATAATGAATTAACTGTTGACACTAGATGATAATTTCTTCTTACTTTATCATCTATCATTTATTGGAATGTAATTAAACAGCTTTACCTATCTAAATAAAGGTGTTTAATCTATCGAATGTTAAAAACTCGCTAGTTGAATTAAAACTGTTTAGTACACTACATAATGACATATTTCCTTGTTTTTGAACACTTGTAAAACACTCAATTTATAGGTGGGTAGAAGTAAAGAGTATATACTTTTGCTCATTTACCATAGGTTGTTCTTGATTGAGCAATGTTCGGATTATGTATATGATGGGGGGGATAACATGTTAATTTATATAAACTCACATCGATGACAATGTAAACTGTAGAGATTTTAAAAAATCTAAGTAGATTTTTAGATCTGTATTTAGTTTCTTACAATGATAAGTAATCAACCTCCTATCACAATTCACCTTCATCCACTTTAGTGCATTTACGACGCTTTACCTCATTACGCAATCTGAAAAAGTATATAGCAATCCACTCAATACCACTACGTAGAAACTCAACTATCAGTAGACCTTAGCTTTTAATTATCCATTTAAAAATCAGTAAGGGAAAGCAATGTATATTCTGGGTGCTGAATTTGTCACTTTTACAGCTGCAGGAATTGTATCGATGTCTAGTCCAGTTTACCGTGTGATATTCTGGACATTATTCTTAGTTAAACAAGGTATAAGTAAGGTTAAAAATTAAGTCGGCTCCATGTAAGAATGGAGTATGTTCCCGGTATTTGGAAGAGTACTATGACAAATCTAACCTATCATGCTTAGTATCCTTCCGCGGGTAGGAATAACAAGCATCGCCGTGGGACTTAATACATTTACAGATTAGTCACATATGTACTAACGGATAGCGATAACATGTTATCATAATTGATATGAAATAACATTGTTATCGTCCTCAAGTATGTATTGAGTATTTCATACCAATATTCAGAATTTCCATAGAAATTTTTATTATCAATAACCTAAAGGATCAAACGAACAGATTCTGAGCCTAGTGTTGCAGAATACTGAAATACATTAGTTTCAGTGGCTTATTTTCCCAGTGAATGAGTTTTCGATAGACGAATCCATCTATACGTATGAAACGGGAAGAGTGGCGTTTTTTGTGATAGACTACTCAACCTAGCCTTGCATTATTAAACACTGATGTAATTTGTAAGGCAGTACGTTATTAGGATATCAGAGATCACTAGGGTGAGATTATCTAGATTGTAGTTCGTCAAATACTAATCTTCCAGTTACTAAACAGCAAGTCAGATATTCAATGTACGTTCAGATCCTCAGACATAGAAAGTGATTATGGTCCACAACATACCTTTGAACTCAGATTATCCCGTTACGGTGATTCAGACAGTATGGCCTTGATTATTAAATAAAACAGTAGAAAAACTGTTGATACCTTTGTAAATTAGTATTACACACTGGTGACAACTTAAACACTATGTTTTTTATTTATATTTTGTAAACGTAGTATCATGTTTCACGTCGACTCGACGTAACTCATGTACCAAGTACATATTCATATACTCATTTTCGCACGACGCAGTTTGTAAGGTCTGGGAATGCTTCCAGGTCGCTCAAACTGAGGTCAGTGGATCGGTTTATGAACATGAAACTTAGTAGCTAAAAGTTGAGTGACTTTAACTACTGTAAATTAGACTGTTGAGAAAAACAGCGAACTGACCGTTGTACATCCACTGAGCCAAATGCTTGATTTCTTTATATTTAGTTGAATTTTTAGTGATGATTGACAACTAATCGGTATTACAACCGCCTTCAATAGTAAAACATCTACACCTAAGCATGTGTATGAAAACAATGTTTGGTGCGACTTGTTGCCTTTCCAAACAACCAGTTTATTTAAAGCATGACAACTAATGTTTCGGTAATAACTAAGTTTAAAGGTATCATAGATCAACATAAGTTGATTTTTGACCCTGTATTCCAATAAACTAAAGGTAGTCTGATTTTATGTTCTTCGTTCGATACCAGTGAAAATGAATCCATGCTTATGATAATTTATTATAAAAATAGATGAATGGTGGCTACCAGTGAAATCCAAGACGCGCGATTCATTCTATTTAGGATTGGTTAGCTGAATGCACCTGCTGCTCAGGGTTGATATTCACTCTGGTTTTCGAACCTAGTACCGTTCTCTTCAAATAATATTTTATTAAAAACTTAGTGCAGATAACGAATAGCATTTACATAACAGTTGTACTCGTGTTATTTTGAATAAAAAAATTTCCATCCCGTTTAATCCCATAAAACTACTCTAAGGGAAGTCCTACTCACAGCCTTCTCGCAACATCATTGTTGTTTACGAAATTAAGAGTACGAAAAGCGAATGTCCGGCACTTTAACCGGGTTGGTGGACACGGAGAATCCACCTAAGTGAGTAAGAAAACACTGATTTCAAACTAGTGGTGCACATGGACTTCATAAATCTGAAGGAAAATGGCGTATAAGCAACTGTCGGTCACCGGCTACCATGGGACTGCATTCCCTGACGTTGGCCCACTGCCTCGTGGATTAGACCTCTAGGTCAAAAGTTCCGGGTGTGACTCTCTAAGAAAACCGCCTGCTTCGGTTTGGGCACCCGGGCAGCTTCTAAGCCCCCACAAAAATCCAATGATTTATGTGGCGTATATCTATTTGATGCCTCCTTGTACCAATGTTTATGTGTTTAAATAAATAATAAAAAACATCAGGGAACAAATTAGGTTTCATTTCTATGGGGTATGTAGGAAACTTGATGCGTTTTAATATCGATGTCTGTCAATAACCCTTTGTATCATAGAGTTCGAATATAATGGGTGTATTGTTTTTTTTCAAGTAACGGTCTTATATTTCACAGCAATGAAACCGTTTAGCAGATTTTGACATTCAATACAAAAACGGTTATGTTACTGGGTTTCAACTAATCGAATTAAAACAATGTACAGCCAATTAACAAAGCATTACAAGGAACAAAATGTTTGCTCCTAAATACATGAGCACACATTTGAAATACATGTTAACCAATCACTAATTACTGAATTTTTATCAATAGGAGTTAGGAGTCATAATAACCGTGATAAGCACTGGCTTGTGCAATGACGTGGAGTTTAATTTGTTTGTATTAGTTGTTTAAATCTTCTCATTAATGTTTAGTACTTTATCTAACCAGTCTCGGAGTGAACATCAACTCTGCGATGCAGGTACATCTGGCTGACTAGATCTAAATAGGATGAAACACATGTAGTGGATTCCACTGTTAGTCACTATCCATTTCTGCTTACAATTTCTGTGACTTAATAGTAATATCAAGGGAAGACGCAAAAAATGCATATATGCCAAAAGAGGCTGATCAATTGCAGTCCTCAACGTTAATGGGAAGTTTCAAACAACCAATACAAATGAATTACAATCTATTTCATATATTAAACGTCAAATTCTTAACCAACCTCATAGAAAATGTGAATTCATTTTACATCACAATCGTATTCCTTAGCTATCAAGGATTGGACATCCGAGAAGTTTCATTACACAAACAATAATAAGCCAGTGTTCAACATTTGTTTTTGGACTTCAACCTAGCAGTAAATATCTATTGGGACTAACTGACATAATGGCCAATTAGTATGAAAGTATAGCTTTTGAGACCGTCATACGGAGCATTGTTTATATTTTCACTGAATAATTAGCAGGCTCTTAAACTATTTTTTTCGTGTTTTTTTTCATTTCTAAGCTTTCATTTGACCCATAAATCATTGTCATATTATCCCAAATTTATCATTAATTATTTCCCTAACACTGGTTTTTATCACTTATGAATAAGTTATTCAGACAATGTAATTTTCTAGCTCCGTTGCTGTGCATTGGGTACTCCAGGTATATTATGCGAATTTCGAGTAATGATTGAACAGAATACAATCGAGAATTAATCAGCTTTCTGTCTCCGTGTTCTAACTGGGCATTGGATTAAAAGATCGAGGACCAATAACGGCCGGGATCTTTGTTGTTGTTCACTAGTCGCAGTCATTTTGTAAATAGGTTACCGGTCCTACAAGCAGCATATGTGAACTCATCAATAGTTGGTTCAGAGAACAGAATCCCTACCGTAATAAATATTCGAACAAACAAACTCCAGGACTACATAAGCAACCGTTTCTGTTTTCATCGTTTCATCACTTACAAAACAAACCATGGTATTACTAAAATCAGTAAACTAACAAACTGCGTTTTGCTGAAGAATCCCAGCGAACAGCAAAGTAACTAGAAAGCGCTCACTGTTATACGAGATTTTTTCTTTTGATATTAGACGACTTAGAATACTACTTATGAATTCATTAAAAATTCGTAGCATGACTGCATTGAGTTGCATGAGTAGTTTGGAAAGAATCACATCAAAATTAATAGAATTGAGAAAAAACGTTTATTCAAAAGATAAGTATCTAACAATTTACATTTTTGTAACTATAAGTCTACAGTTCAACAATTGAAAAGTAAACTGTATTTGACATTGTAAAATAGTGGGCGATATATTACAGCGGGGTCGTTAGTGGTGGTTAACTTTTGTTGGATTCTAGTATATCTTTGGCCTGATTGATCTTAGCAGCCAAGTATGGGGAGCCGCCTGAATTAGATATACGATAAACATATTACACTTAACCAAATTAAAAGATTATACTTTGTGCAAAATATTCATATAAGAAAAATAACTACCAAAAACTGACGGGAATGGACCTGAAGACAATTTATGAAATGATGGTTAAAAGTACACCTTTGTTGTTTGTCAGGTAAGTCATTTTTTAAAGTCGGACAATAAATTTTTTACGAATACATCTTTCATATATAGTTAATAGTTTTATTTCATTATAATTTAGTCACTTCGTCTGTTATGAAATTATTTTATGCATTTCATTACGTAAGATATTCATTAACAAGAAACTCCATTTTGATCCTTGTTACTGTGAACTGACAAAAGCTGTAAACGTGGTAGGGCTTGAGTAGCAAGCTTTTATTTTGTTCTTTTCAAGAAGCCGATTGAATATAGATAGACAAAATAACTTGGATTACTCTGTTGATAGAAATCTCAAGTCTACATTAAAGTGTAAATACTAGGGTAGAAGTATGCAGATATATGAACAAATCCTTCTTAAGGAATTTGAAAAAATAAATTGTGAATAGCTTACATTAGTACACTGACCATTATTATTATTATTATTATTATTATTATTACATTACATGGATTTCAGTCAGGAAGCTTACACTTTCTGATACAGTTAAACATGGCAAATAATGATCATGTTCCGGGTTGCCATTCCATAGTTGATATCCAACTTACTACTATAGAGTTCATCGTTTGTGGCGCATATATATTGGCGCTCTCTTGTACCAATATTCATGTGTCCAAATAAATAAATAAATAAACTTACTACTACACCAGTTAGCACAGAATACTGATATAAACAGTGGGTGAGATATGTAAGGTTATGAATTAATCACGATCCTTTGCATAGGTCACCGAATAACATTATTGAAAATCTCGGAAGTGGAAACGTATATTTTCCCAAATATTAGACACTTTATAAACTTATGGGTTGGATATTCCTGTCTGATGAAGTAGTTCAACAGTTTAAGTAACATAATTTCGTAACATAGCAAAGAAAACTGACAATAAACAAGCACCAAAATAAAACTACGAGAGTGAAATCAAAGAACGAGGTGCAGTTATATAGAATAACAAACCCGAATATTCATGCAAATAAATGAGAATAACCGAGATACATGATTACGAGAAATTAAGTTGTTTTGAACCACCAGCCTCTATATTTCTGCGAAATTCAACTAAGAAGCCCAGATTGAGCCCATACAGAAATCTACGAGGGTGAGCAATATGTAGATAATTTACAATCTTAAAACAAAAACAACGAGCGAAATTTAATAACTAGTCGTAGCATGTACAACCTTTATTCAATTAATTAGTGAGCTACAGAAAACAAACACAGGCCTCCACGACAGAATATAGATTATCACATCTTCAACATGCCCAATAATCCTAACAGATTATAAATAACCAAAATCGAATGATAATAATAATAACATGGGACTGATTAAGGATAAGAAGTTAGTTGGTTATAATATTGATACAGAAGTTAACATAAATTAGAAAATTAGTGATAATTTTATTCTGAACTCACCTTTATCGGGATGGTTAAGAAGCATGATCTCTTATGAGCATCCCTAATTTTATTTCTACTTGACTGTTGACTAAAATACAAGGCAAAGATGAATACTTCTTTACAAAATAAATGCACACCTTTCAATGCTTAAATCTATAAAGAATAATCATTATTAGGTAAGTGATAAAGGGCAAGTAATTAAATTTTCAGACAGTCTAGTTGAACATGATGAAAGCATACCTTAAAAAGTTTTAAGCAAAGCTAATTCTTAGTGAGAATGGTGGTAGAGATGAAAAATTCATTACACAAATACCCCCAAAAAGATTGGTGTTAGAATTTTAAAGCTACAATCAGGAGTTTGAATCAAGATTTACGGTTAGGAGCGCAAGAATGCTTAGTAAACATATAGATTAACATATGCTGAGTTCTTTGTAAATAAAAATGATTCTTAATTTTTTGGAGGCTTTTAAAAGACAAATACCAAGTTTCAAGTCTTTGCAATTATAATATTGACAAAACATTCCTGGCGTTAGTGATGTGACATCAATTTACAAACAAAAGGGATAATCGATTTTTACTATAAATTCAAATCAACATATTAAAACAATTACCACACTAAAATAGTTCGAAATTGGTCAGCTAAATAATCTGTATCATCTACATTGCATACAATCGAAGTGAGAATATTTAATGAGCAACTGGATTTTAAACCTAAACTATTTAATTCACTTGGTATTATTTTATTTGAATCTTCCCATTGATGTTTTAGGACTGAAATTGATCGGTCTCTTATTGGCATATGTGCATATTGTGTGCACTGCCTCGATATTACCTTAATTTACAAACATTATAAGCAAAGATGGATAGTGGCTAGTAGTGGAATCCAGGACGCGCGTTTCGTCCTGTTTGGGACTCGTCGGCTGGATGTACCTGCATCTCCGAGTTGATATTCACTCTGGGACTCGAATTAAACTTCACCCCATTGCACAAGCAAGTGGCTATCAGGACTCAGTAGCTAAGTGGATAACGCGATGGCGTTTGAAGCGAACGGTACTGAGTCTGAGTCCCAGAGTGAACATCAACTCTGAGATGCAGGTATATCCAAATGACGAGTCCTAAATAGGACGAAACGCGCGTCCTGGATTTCACTTCTAGCTACTATCCATCTTTGCCAAACTACTTATTTATTACTATTTTAACACACAGATACTGGTACAAGGAGGCACCAAATACATATGTGCCACACAGACCTCATATGATATGTGTGAAGGCTGTGATACTGCCCGGGTGCCCAAACCAGAGCATGTGGTTTTCTTAGGGGCCACTCCCCGAGCCTTCGACCTGAAGGTCTGATCCACAAGACAGTGGGGAAACGTCATGAGATGCAGTCCCATGGAAGCCGGTGACCAACGATTGGTTATACGCCATTTGTTCCTTCAGGATACTGGAGCCAATATACACCATTGGTTTGGAATCAAGGTTTTCCAAATCCCCTAGGTGGACTCTCCATGTCCACCAACCCGGTTAAAGCGCCGGACATTCACTTTTCGTTCTCTCAATTTCGTAAACAACGGCCATGCCGCGAGAAGGCAGTGAGTAGAACTTCTCTGACAGTGGTTGTATACACGTGGCCATGAGAAAGCACTTTGAGAGGAAGAGCTGACTCTCCTCACTCTCGGCCATACCAGGGCATTTGGGGGCAAACCTAAACTAGCCAAAGGTTGTTCTTGTATATAAGGAAGCGAACTGAGAGAAGTGATGGAATCCCACTATTTTTGGTACAATAAAATCAGTTGGTATTGCTAATAGATGATGTAGCAAAAGATGAAGCCTTATCAGACCATTTTAGTAGTGTTTTCTACCGACGATGGTGAAAGACAATCAATTATTTGTAATTATAGAGGCTTATTGATAAATTCTCCGGTTATTGAGGAAATGCCTTTCAAAACCTCAAACCAGATAAGTCCAATGATCCTGACGATATTTATCACAGGATTATAAAAGCCCTGGCAGCTGTCATTGCTGAACCTCCGGCAATACTGCTTAAGATACCAAGGTATTGGAAAGACACAGTTATCAATGCGGCCAATAGAGCGGGGTGTAGAGACATAACTATCGACCCGTTATTCTAACCAGCGTAGTTGTTAAACTAATGGAGATTATTCGGATGGCTGTTTCAAACTCTCTGGAAGTGAATAATCTTTTAGACAGGGAACAACATGGCTTATCATGCTTGAAAAAATTGGCATGAAGCAAAAGATAGAAATATTTCAAAGTAATTTTCATAGAACTAAGTAAAGCCTTGATAAGGTCTTTCACCTTGGTTTTGCATCCATTATGAAACCACAAACTGGATGAGTGGTAGAAGACAACAGGTACGGGTAAACGGGGGTCCACTTACATGAGAACCCGCCAAACGTGGAGTCCCCCAAGAGGCAGCCCTCGCTCTTCTTTTCCAACCTTGTTTAAATCAGTCACTGACTGCAGCAAACTCATCTGTTCTCTTTGCAGATGAAAAAGATTTGGAGACCCACAAACAATATGTCAGATAAGGCAATACTACAGGATGACTCAAACTAACTGATTGAATTGATGTGTAGGTAGTGATTAGAAGTTAACTCTAACAAGAGTATGGTGATGAGAATAAATAGATGCGACGATTCATATCACTATACACTAAGCGAAATTGTTACCTGAAGTAATGGACTGGGAGTCACAATAAGCAACGACTTTAGAACTACGAGTAACTGTAAAACTGTTACTGTCAAAGGATTCATGGTTTTATGGGCTATTTGCAAGTCATTCCATTAGTTGGTCGAAGAAATGTTTACGATATTATACCTGACTTTTGTGAGGCCGCATTTAAAATATGGGAGTAAAGCAGCGAGTCCTTTTTTAAGTACGAGGCGGATATGCTAGAACGTGTTCAACGGCGAGGGACCAAGATGGTAAAAGGTCTCTCTGTCTTATGAAAAGACTAAGACGCCTCAACCTATTTCCATTCTCTTATCGCAAGTAACGGATTAATATGAAACTGGTTTGCCGTACACTAAATGACGATTTTGGTGTATGTCTTATCTTATCCTTCCAATTTGGACTGATGATCTGAGGACATATTAGGAAAGTTCAAAAACCGAGATTAAATCATTCACATCTGAAGTTCTGTTTTCTGCACCGAGTAGTGAATTACTAGGATTCCGCAGAGACTGGGTCTTTACAGTGCTACAAATTGCAAGGGTTATTATAAATCGGTTGACCTCCTATCCTCACTACTGAAAACTAGAGCCAAACAGTAAAACCCGTTTATCCGGTGACCGGTTAGTCCGTCGCGTTTCCAATTACACATTAGATTTATTTACTATGAAGTGACTTACCTTAAGTCACGAAACACCAGAAATGCATTTTTTTCTACTCATTATGATATAATGATAATATGTTTACTAAGTTTATTGTTTTGCAGATGAATTATAATGGCAAAACTAGGGCGTTTATATATTTAAAAGAATTGAATGATGCACTTGTCGGCTATCGAGTATCCTAAGTAGTAAGTGAGAATAACGGCCAGTTAGTCAACGGAAACAAATAATCCACTAAGTGGGGATTCATGAATCCAGTTTTGATTAACACTAACAAAACCAAACTTACCTCACTCCAAGAATTAGGGCAGCTTCACGCCGGGACATATTTTGTTCAAACCCCCCACGATAATACTTAGAGCCATTCTGAAAGCAAAGTAAAGACAAAGTCAGAACTTGGTGTGTTTGTTTACACTACTAGTTTGTGGTTGTCTGTCAAGTCGGGGTCGTAAGCAACACCAAGAGATCATGGGTACTAAATAAAATTTTTAATTTCACCACACCGGTAGATCGACCAGCATTCAGAATAGAAAGTAGTTGAGCAAAATGGTTAGACAGTTAAGTTAGAATTTTGTGGGTTAAGTCAAGACTGAATATCCGCTCATGCTAGTAAATGCACCTATAAATGTAAACTGAAATATAACAGTAAAACGTCAGAAACTATTTTGAACAGAATTGATGATTTCAACATTTTATGGCTGACTTCCATAAAACTACAATGAGGATGTATTGAGCAGCTCTGTCAGAGGAATAGGAGAGAAATATCAGTGCATATAAGATTTTAACGCGAAATGTAGTAGACTGCATACCACTTGTGTAGTAGATTGAAATCTCTAACATCTAGAGATTGCTTAAGTGGCCAAAATTAACTTCTAGGTGTTTATCTAAGATAACTTAAGATTCACCTTGCAGCATATTTAGTAAAACATAAGAAACAACTTTCATAGTAATCCTATTACACAGCACACCACAACTATATTCTGTAACAATTATAACAAACAGGACAGCACTTACTAGTCCAGATATACTGAAAAGCTTTTGTATACTACCAATATTCGTATTCCGTGTTATATAACGTCCAGCAACTCCTACGGCTATCATACCCAATCCTAATAAAACAGGTGTCGACTAACGATAGATTAAGTGGTTATTTAGTCTCACCATCACTTCATTACTATCAGCAAATAATGTTTTTCAGTTAGGTGGCAAACTGCGCCTACGAGTTAAATGTATGAAGAACGATTACAACTATGAACGGGCGTTTAACGAGTCACGTTAAGACGCGCGTAACGAATGTTGTCTGAAATAGCGCCAACCCTTCAAATGGTTCAAATGGTTCAAATGGTTGTGGACGGAATAGAAGAAGCTTTCGCTTAACAGGCTTCCGTGTCTAGTAGCAGGGGATCACCAAATCCTCCAGGCAGGAACCTAGGTATGTTAACAATAAAAGAGGAAAAGAGATTGGTAAATCATAATGTGATGCTGTTCTTGGTCCTTAAGAATAGGTCAAGTTGCCTCTTGAAGGACTCCTGAGAAGTCGCTTGGACTAGCTCGGCCGGCAGCGAATTCCAGCTTTTGACAACTCTTAAGGAGTAGAAATTGTGTCTACATTCCGTCTTGCTATGTTGTGTTTCCAGTTTCTGGGTGTTACCCCTTAGGTTGTTATTCGAACTAAGCTTAAGTAGGTGTTTAAGAGGATGTCCAGAAGTGTTAAGAATACTATAAGCCATTAATAAATCACGCCTATATTCTAATGGGTAAAGGTCTAGTGAACGGAGGCGTTCTTCGTAAGGCTTAGATTTGAGTCCTCGAACTGATTTCGTGGCTCGCCGCTGGATACGCTCCAAAGTGACCTTGTCCTTTTGGAGTGAGGGGGGAGTACTATGTTTCCGTACTCTAAATGGGGACGGATGAAACTATTGAAGATTGTGTGGAAAGTTCTTCCGTCAAACTGGCCAAAAATGCGCCTCAACGTTACCAGTGCAAGGTTTGCTCGGAAGGCATTTTTGTCACAGTTGGCGTAAGACTTCAAATCATGGGGCACCAGGACTCCTAAATCTTTTTCGACTTGGGATACTACTAGAGAGGAGTTTCCTAAGTTGTAACTGTAGTTTGCAACATGTCGCAGATGGACTACTTTACACTTTGAAGTGTTAAAGGTAAGTCCGTTATCGTCTGCCCAACTTTGAAGTCGAGTCAGATCCTCCTGAAGTGCCTGTGTATCGTCTTGGTTGCGTATCTCTCTCCAAAGTTTCACGTCGTCGGCAAAAAGTAATAAATCTGACGTTACCTGTTGAGGAAGATCATTTATGTAGATCAAGAAGAGAAGAGGCCCTAGTACTGAGCCCTTGGGGACCCAGGGTTAAAATAATTGTGTCCTAAGTCTTCAGTAGTAAGGATAATAGATTAGTTGATTGTATTGATCATCGTGAGTTGTTTTCCATTGAATTTACAGCTTTTCTTTAAAAGTCTTTGCTGACAGAGCTGACTCCACTTGTCTGGGTGTAGCGTTTCGGCGATTTGTCGTCAGATGCGAAAAAACAGAATCCTAGTCTGAGTCTATTTGAGAGTGATTTCGAACATTTGAGGTGTGATCTCGAAGTTACTAGTTGTAGAGGGAGTAGAAGCATAAAATATTTTAACGCCTTAATCATTTGAGTTATGAAATGCTAATCCAAGATTACCTTTCTTTCCACGATAATAAGGACAGTTTTTTGGTTATTAAAGCGCTCGTCGAAGAAGAGTTTAAAGGGTTCCATAAATGACTTGGTTCGCACACAGCATCTTATTTCAAGTGTGATGGTTTCCTTAATAAGATGTGGACTAGCCTCCGTGACGTAATGCTCTGAGTTCTTACATGGGGTGCGGAACTCGAAACATATCATCATGAAAACATTTAGATACTCGGCGACTTGACTATAAGACTCAGAAACGAGTTGCAGTTGTAAAATTCCAATGTTAGTTCTTTCAAAGATACGAGTCACCTTTACTCCCTAATGTTTCTGTTTCTTCACGCGTGGGAGCGATGTACCATTGACAGTAAAGTGATAACCCTTGGGGACCCGGCGACTTAACAGATGTCAGGTTAATAAGTGAGTAAAGAAGAGCTTCCTCAATCCTGCGTTGATATCTTTGAGGTGTGGTTATGGGAAGTATTAATAGCAATATCTGCCTAACAAATGTCGCTGAATCAGTTTGATGGAATTTCAGCTTTGGCCATATCTGTCTTACGTCCACATCCGGATTCTTGTATGGTAGCGACGGAGGTTGAGATAATGCAGTCTCCGATTGCGGAAATGTTAACCCTCCAGATAATGGAACAGGATGGAACAAATACATATTGCACAATGTTCGTCCAAAACATAAAGTACAATACGTGATCACTGTTAGTTGATGAGGGTAGGTACTGAATGTCAACAACATCATAGTCGTGTGCAAAGACAAGATCTAACAATATCGGTTTTTGTTTCAAGTCAATGTGTGTTCGGTTTTGCAATACATTGTACAAGTGCTCACTAAGCAATAGTTGTTAGTAGGGTGCCGTCAAAACATCTACCCAATGTCGTAAGCTCTATCCAATTGGTATGTGTCTCGTCGAAATCCCTAAAGACGAGACAATAATCACCCGTGCTCCTCACGGGGATGAAAATTGGGGCAAAATCGTCAGCAGGACAAGTGGGACTGCAGTATATTGTTTCTCTAGTCTCTAATTGATGTCTAGATTCTATTGTCTAACCAGCTGCTTCACATGTGCTTCTACTACATGCTGCTGATATATGGGGCTGTGCTCTAAAGTGATCCCTAACACAGCGCTATACCTCCAAACCTAGGCTTTATAAGCTTATCACTTCTGGTACAAATGTATTGTGCAACAGTTGGAGAATATTCCCCGTTCAAAATAAGCTACGCTTCTATGGCAACGGTCGTAGCTGGGCTTCATCTTTTTATCACCAAGATTAGCTCGGACGTCTTATTTCGAAGACGACAAAGGTTTGTGTGGCACATACTTAAGGCCTTCCAGAAATCACTTGTTCTACCGTACAGGCCTCAAAAACATGGGCTCTCCAGGCTTGATTACCTGGAGAACCATGAAACATAAGGTTCGCTTCATTATTTTCCTTCCAAATTTTCACCTCAGTTATAGGATGCTTCCACCTAGTTCGGTCATTCATTCACAAGTCTGGCCGGATTCTTGGGCTACGAATTTTGTATACAACAGTCATTCTAATATCTCTTTCTTCGTTACTTCCGAGAACTATCTTAAGATCTTCCCACTACATACAACTTACAAACATTTATGTGGGTGGTGTCCACTATATACGTACTCATAGAGCCTCTTCTAGAGGTACATGTCAAACTGCAGATTTCGCCGATTACATATAATATGTGTATCATTCAGTTAGCTCGTTTTCTGCTGGCTCCTCCAGGTTTGAAAGAATTAAAGTAGGGGCGCATTTGACTTCCTTCAACGTTGTATTCACAGCTTTTGATTGAGCTGTTACCCTTCGCTTCCACATAATCAACCTAGGCTTTCTTGTCATTTTTCCATTTATTTAGACTTCCGGGTCAATCGGGCGGAACAGAAAAAACTTTCGCTTAACGGACCTCTGTAACTAGTAGCAGTAAACCACTGCTGCCTCCAGGTATGGATCTAGGGATATTCATCATGAAAAGGGAAACATGAGTAAACTTTGATGGAATACTGTTTGGAGTTCTTATGAATATGTCCATTGGACCACATTAGATGGCAGCAAATTACAGGGTTTGGTTACCTGAAGAGAGTAGAAGGCAGGACTGCAGTCAAGTTTGAAATATTGCGCCTCTAATTTCTGGGTGCTACCTTCAAGATATATATATATATATAGATCATATTCTAGAAGCTGAGTTTAGAAAGAAACAAAGTTTATGTGATCACCTTATAAGTTGTAATAGTTGTTTGTAATATTTAAGATGATGCGGTTGCCAGAGGTCATTGGTGATGATCTTCGAAAGCCTACAAATGCTTGTTTAGTTTGTCTTGACGCATGAACTGGTAATTATTTATACCTTATATGGAACCGAAAGCAAAATTGGTATGATTAACTAGCAATTCTACAGAACCATTCGCATAGGGTGAGGATTATAGTCAACACTTTTGTTACATTTTCTGTTTTCACAGTTCAAAGTGAGGCTTGTTCCGAAAACTAAATGGCACAATTAATCAATGTGGCAAGACATGCTTTCTTTTGTAGTGCAAAAGATAAAGTAAATAAGCTTGGCTAGTGATCCAAAGAAAAGTAAGTTTTAATGGAGTTTAGACACATTAATGATTATTTGCATATGTTTTTTATTTCTTCCCGTATAAGTTTTATCAGGACGTTACCATTTACTGTATACATATTTTCAGCTGGTTTCAGAAATACTTATCGGTACTTACTGTAAATTTTTTATCAGCAAATATTTTTACGCTCAATTTGGTATAGAATATGGATGTCACATCGGACTATAGGTTATGGCAGATTTCATTTCAGAGTTCATTATGAACTTCACCACATCATGTATTTGTTTATCTTTTGTTAGCATTGAGACTTTTGACATTACGGTTACTACATAAAAGACCTATGGTAAGGCCAATAATTTTTTATTACCTACCTGTTATAATCTAGACGATTAACTCAATATTTATACGAATATTCGTCAAGATTAGAACGAATAGTGTGACAGTAATTGAGCGCCGAGTATAGAGAAGTCATTATATGTGAAAATTATATTTGAAATATTCTCAGCGATTGAAATTTAACTAATTCCAACGTTTCGTCCAGCTAACTTGTCTGAACTTCTTCATAAATTGTATTGTTTAAAAACTCATTCAGTTCTTTCAATAATAATAACGATGCATGTGATATTAAAGTATGTTAGTTTGATTGAAAGCATATCCGCATCTCAAAAGTTTGTCTAGCCTTCCATTGCTTGTTAACACAGACTAACTTACCCACAATTTATTAACACTTATAAAATACACATGAATATTTCGACTTTTTACTCTCACTCACCCGCTTTCGATTGTGCTTGCATTGTAAATGCTTGTAGATTTTATTAAATATTACCAATACACTATCCTA